AAAATGTAATAATTTCCCTCTTCTGTTCCTATGGACTTTGGATACTGACAAAACCTGGACTGTTGGTGTGACTGGTACTGAGTTGGGTATCACTGGACTACATTATGATCATTAGTGTGGCCAGTCAAAGTTGATCCTTTCATCTGGACTTGTTGCTTCTTGGGGATCTATAGCCTTTATAGATATAGATAAATGGGAATTATTTATTATACTTTTTTTTTTTTTATCTCCTTTTCCATTTGAAAACTTACTGTAGCACATAAATGCTGTACCCATACATTGCTTTGAGTTTTATTGATATGGAGCAATGTGATATTTTCAAACATACCACACATCACTGAGCTTTCTTGATATGGAGCTCTGTGATACAACTAAACACACACCGCATTGCTGACTTTTATTGATATGACGCTTATACAGTCGAGCATACAACCAGTGGTGTATCCTGGTTTTGTGCTGCCCTAGGCATCACAAAACTCAGGCACCCCTCCCCGCCTTCTAAATACACATACACACTCACTGATATACACTAGCTAACAGACATACATACTCACTGACAAACACACATACACACACACTAACACACACATTAACAGACATACACAGTCACTAACAGACATGCATGCACACTCACTAACAGACACACACACTAACACACTATCTAACAGACACACACTAACAGACACACACACTAACACTATCTAACAGACACACACACTAACAGACAAACACATAGACACACACACACACTAACACACGCTCACTAACTGACACACACTAACTGACACACACTAACTGACACACACTAACAGACACACACTAACAGACACACACATAGTAACACACTCACTAACAGACACAGACACACACACACACACTTACATTTAAAAAAAAAAAAATTCAATTCAATCCCCCCAGTCTCCTTATCTTTGAAAGTGCTGGGGTGGATTCTCCCTTTCCCTGGGGTCCAGTTGGGCTGCTGGGCGGCCAGCCGGTCACTGCACCGCATAGTGATGCCGGCACCGGAGTGACGTCATATTCCGGCTCCGGCATCACTGCGGTGCGCGCGAGGGAGCTGAACAGGAGGATCAGTGCTCCTTTGCCGCCCGCCCGGAAAGTGCCACCGCTGCTAGCCTGGGGGGTCCTGAGGTGGCAAGGCATTTGCCAGGGCCATTGGGGGCGGCTTTTTTTTTCTGCCCCCGGGAAAGTGCAGCCCATGGCAAATGCCTTGTCAGCCTCGCAGGAAAAACACCCCTGCATACAACGCATTCCATGGTATTTATTTGACCAATGTGGAGCTCTGTAATAAACCTATTGTGCGGTAATGTGAGTGCTGTGGAGGGTACTATGATTCAAGCTCTACTGTGGCTGTTAAATTTCCAGGTTCGTATGTTTTCACAATTTAAACTATTTGAGACCACTACTTTAATATCCCATAAAGTCTTTATTGAGCAGTTTCCATGATACAACACAGCAATTGACAGCAGTGAGAGAGTCAGGATTGTTGGGAATTCAAAGCCAATAAATCAGGGGAGTTGTAGTTAAGCAACATCTATAAGGCCACAGTTTTAGGACCCCTGCAATAACTTTTTCCTGCGGAGGTTGCAGATTTGAAGCAAAAATGAACGGCCCCCTTATTTATTTGTTGTTTATCTGTTTCTAAATGTTGAAGAAAACATTAATCGGTAGGCATCAAGCAGTACTAAAAACATTAAAAATGTTACAAATAGTGTGAATAGTTAAATAGCATAGCTGTAAAAATCAATGTTTTTAGATTAGTATTTTTTAGTATTAATAAAAATAAATTTAATACAAACTTGGAAGAGAAAAAACACATATCTGCTATTTTTTATTTGTTATAATTCTTTATTTTTGCAGTGCATAGTGTATCAAACAAGCTTATTTAGACATTGCACCAAAATATTAAAAAAGCATACATAATATTGAAGGCGTCACATGAAACGTCAAAGAAAGACTGCACCTTTTTTTTTTTTTTCTTTTTTCTATGAGGGGATAGAACTAGTAGATAACATGAATTATAGAACAGAGCTATGGAATATATTGATAAAAGTACCACTGGGTAGGTAGAGTAGCAGCGTAGTGTAGCTGAAATGGTAATGCACTTATGGAAGATCAAAACTGGATTGTAACTAGCATTAATAAAAAGAAAAACAATACTAGAGCTACTGGGCTACAGGTTATGTGCGTCAGCCCCTCAGCCAATACTGAGAGATGGTGAGGCCTGAATATTAATGTTATCTGCTGATCCAAAGAAGCACCGACCAAGCCAGGGCATCAGAGAGTCTGGTGTGCTTTGATCCGGGGTAGTATTTGAGGTTTGGTGCCACTGCACATCGGCAATGCATACCCTGTGGTCAGTTGTGCACATGTGTGGTTCAAGCAGGCTGTGCTGAGAGTGGAGAGACTTGTTTCTCCTCAGTGGGCACGGGTCGTGGGTAACGTTAGGGCTACAGCCTTAAAAGTAGGACAACTTCCATGCTTGCATTCTGGGTCGTCTTTTCCACAATGTTCCCCTGGGGAGATGCTGGAAGCAGTGGGGAAGTCTGCAACAGTAGCGTGGTTCTGGGGATTTGCAACTTTGCCAGCAGGAGTGGAGGTAGATCTACGTTTCTGAAGCTTTGCCCAAAACAGCTTGTAAGTGCGGTTGAATTCCAGGAGGAACTGTTCCACGCGTGGAAGCGAGCTTGGTAGGGTGTCCATGACTGTTGGCCTTAGCGGGATGGCCATGTTGATTGCTAGGCCTTGGCCTTCCATATCACCAGGTAGCTTGAGGTTAGGTCCGGCTGGCCATTACAATACGCCAGTGAGGACTGGGATATCCCCCACCGGTCCAAAGGGGGGAGGGACAGGGCTCAGTATTAGTCAGCTCCAAATCAAGGCCGTAGATCGGCCGCCTCTCCACCCTCAATTGTAGCCGTAGGCTGCAGAGGAGTCTCCCACAGGGTGTTTCTGCAGGATTCAGGATGATGTGACATAGATAGCTAGCAGTGTGCTCCCTGGGAGTAAGAGCAGGATTCTAGCCAACAATAGCGCAATGTAGCCCACTATAAATGCTTTTAAATGGATTTCCCAGAGGAGCTACAGCACATGCGACTGACTCGGTCTGCAGTCAGGCCCCGCCCCCTATATCTGCTATTTTTATATCTTTTTGTTGTTGTTTATGTTTATAAAGAAACAGAATAAATACACTTAGGTAGCACACATGGTTGTACTAATGAGGTTAATTATAGTCAATCTCTATCTCCCAACTATAATTACTGGAGTTTATATAGAATGTGTGTAACAGTATACATGGTTTTTATGTGCATTGATGATTTCATGGTCGAGTTTGGGCTTCCTTTTCGTTTTTGAACCGTTTACATATAGATGGCAAAACTATGGCATTTTCCACCCTTATTTGTACATTGTTTGGTTGTTGTTTTTAAAACAGAAATGAGACATTGACCTACCTCGCTGATTTTTGATAGATGTAATGCTTTGCTGTTGAACCGCTGGCATTCGAAATGACGTGTAGTGTTAACATTGACTGCTAAATGTCTTGCAAATTGTTTTCTTAATCTGTTTCAGAGCAATGCCAGAATACAATAAATGATGAAATACTCTTTATTGATGAAGTATTTAATCAACACAGTAGTGAAACTGGATATGAATGGAAATGTTGGCTACCAAATCCATGTGTCAATAGGTTTATGGTGTTTAACAGGCAATGCTTGTCATTTGATCAGGGGTTGAGTAAATGAGGTTAAATGGACCCTCTGGACAGCAGAATTGCTTGTAGCCTTCTAAAGCATATCTCTCAATGTTTTAGGAAATAGCACGTCACCTACGACCCAAGACCCTCAGAGCTGAATTTGGGAAAACCAAAATTAAAAATGCGGTTCACTGTACAGACCTTCCAGAAGATGCAGCTTTAGAGGTAATATTTCTCCATACTTTTTATACATGTATTACTGGTTGATTTCTGTATTTCTTGAATATGAAATGTGCCTATTTTGTACAAAGATAATTTAGCCGCCAAAGTACCAAAGCATTAGCTTTATGTATGTTGAATAACAATAACTTAACCTTGAATATTTTTTTTCCCTTTCATGAACGCTTAGACTTTTAAAATCCTGTACATATTTTATTTTTTTCACAAATTGCTTATGGGAAAACATTTGGTGTTGATATACAAGACATAATGTGGCATCCTAGCCAAATGGTATATAGGGCCTGGGGGGGAGAGTTGGTCATCCCTCTGTTCTTTAGCATGTGGCCCATTCGGCTTGTGAATGCCTGACCCACCATTATAAATTACCCGCTCATTTTCGGCTTTTCTGTTAGAGCATAGGAGGACAGGAAATAAGCACTCACTGAAAAGTTGGAATGCAGGAAGAATAGCTACTCTGTCAAACCCTCCTTAATCATTTCAGATTTTGTGGGCAGAACTTTATCTCACACAATCCCAGACATGCTCAGTTGTGCACACACAGATGCATCCATCTCATCCTTCTGCCACACATTACATATCACTCCCATCCATCCACTCCTTAAACAACATACCTTACCATCACAATCATCCATTACATCTATACACCCCTTCAGCCAACCTCTCATCCCCCACATTCCATTCCCTGAAATGCAATATACATACAGAGGGACTGTTTTGCTTACATTTCCTATCTTACAAAGGATCATTTAGTGGTGCAGATAACTGAGTATGATAATCAAGGACCCCCCAAAACCAATTTGACAGTCATGTCAACATGTAAATGGTGGGTAGAATCCAGCGGAATTTAAAGGAACACAGAAATAAATAGCAATCTGAAGAAGATATGAGGATTAAGTGAAATTCCATAGCAGGTCTGCTTTTTGTCCCCAAGCTATAACACACCACTGCTATAATGAATAACTATGCAAGAATTACTAACCAGTCCTCCTGTTTTCGATTTTATCTTTTTAATAAGAATGCTGTGTTGGAGTTGTACTGCAACACCCACATAAACACATTTTTTGTAGTGAAAAATAAAGCCACCTAAATATTTAGCTGACTTTGATATAAGTTTGATTATTGGGGCATACTAAGCACTCTGTAGTGGTTATGTTGCCTGGAAGACCATGGCATCGTGCACCGGTTTAATATCAAACAATTGATATTGAATATATACTTGTGAAACAGGTAGATTATTTTGCTTTCTGTGAAATGTATCCTATACATCTCCCTATGCCGTGTAACACCCACCTCTTTGATTGAAATATTGATATTGGCGTATTAAAACATTTTTATGCCTTACTGTAGAGTACTCTCAAACCTGTAAGTCCCTTCCCAGAGTGTTTATTAGGCTTACATATTTGTTAAACATAGGAAAGTATTTGTGAGCTGTGAAAAATAAAATACCATTTAGAAATCCACACCTCTTTATGCTACTTGTGTGCCTCCATCTCAGCTCCCGAGACATTGTTATAAACTCTTCTTTGCACCTGACAGTCAGCATAGAGAAAAGGAAAAATGTTTTTACCTTCTTAATAATTTAAAAGAAAAAAAAGTATCTCTTAGTAAGTTGTAATGTTTTATTCAGTGGTGTAATTTCAAAAAGTGACAGTTCCTCTTTAGGATAGTATATAAATGAAGGTGGATCATTCTCCTTTTTAGACCTTAGTCCTGTAACTTGCACATGTCTAATGTAACTGTTACATTTTTTTTTATTTCTCCCTTCTCAATCTCAGGTGCAATATTTTTTCAAAATTCTGGACAGCTAACTTTTCTCGGAAGAAATAAAACAGACAGGTATCGGTTTATTCTTTTTATTGTCTGATGTTTCAACTCGACAACAAGAGCACCGTACTCCTGGCAAATATAACAGATGTTTGAACAATGTGCGCACAGTAGACATTTAATACATCCTATGGGATACTGCATTGCCTTTTTCAAAAGTTGTTTAAAATAAAGATTTATTTTTCAACACGTGACTTTGGTTTATTTCATACATTACTTTTTTCTCGAAGAAAAATAAAAATTGTACAACTGCATAAATATAAAATTCTTCCACCATGAAAATGGCTAAAACATTTGAAAAGACACAGCATCAAACTGTGATGCTTCCTGAACAAAAAAATATATATAACTCTCTCTATATATATAACGAAAAACAATAGCCCTATTCTCTGCAAAAGTGACAGTCTGACCCCAAGCCTTACACACCTCTATAACATACTTAAGGTTTATAGGGGAGGGAAGAATTATTTTTTTGTTTATTAAACATTAAATAAAAAGCACAGCAAAACCCATCACCAATGTTTTTAAGGAATATTAAAAAAAGCCCTAACAAATGTCTCCCCTTCAACCAAACAGAATTACCAAAAACCCAAGCAAAAAAAAACAAAAAACACATGAAATAGGGCCTTGCGGAGTGCTATTAACACCTTTGTGCACCATGGGGTGTGGAATTGAGTTTCCGTATGGAACACAAAAGGGTTATATATTTGGGTTGGTTGGCTGTTTTTTCCTTCTTTCAACAAAGCAAAACAAAAAATATATATGTATATATATTACTGAGCCAGTTTTATTCCCGTTACAGAGTATTTACACCTTGAACTGCAATGCTGGTCACAAAGTAAAAACATAACAAAACATGGCTTGGCAGAAATAGCTAAAAAGTTGTACATATGCTACTTTAACAAACTACATGAACAACAACAAAAAAAATAATACAAGAAAGTAGCAATAGTTTGGGGCTAGACACGTTGCTTAACTACATTTTGATTATGGAATCATAAATTTACAGCAGAATGGGCATGTCCCAAGGTTCAAGTCATTCTTCTTTTTTTTTATCATTTACAGTAGAATAAATATTTGTTGCTATTGCTACACTTAATTTACATTCTAACCTAGTAAATGCAGAAAGCTAGTGTAAAGCGTATATATTTAGTGTAGGTCCCATACATGACAGTTTGTTCAAGACTAGAATTTTTTTTTTTTCTCTTTAATATTTTAATGGGCGGTTTACACAAGATGTGCTTATGATCAGCTACTTTTTATTAAAAACTTTACATCGAAACGTCCCCGGAAACGGTCTTTATCACTGTATTGTATATTTTCACCGTATGCCTTGCACTCAATGCGAACCTCTTCGTCCGTGGTAATATTGGTAAATTGTACAGCAACAAGAGGCTGGCGATAATATGGTTGCAGCAGCTTTCCATAGTAAGGATAATAATTTAAAGGGAATCCTGGTTTTCCGTCCATTCCAAAATACATTATTGATCGAATATTAGAAATATCCTCCGCTTTCTGCAATGCAAAAACAAATGTTAATACTGCTAAACGGCACAGTGGATTCTTAATCCAGAATAATGGTCATGAGAACAGTAGTTCAGATTTGGATTCCCTTGTGTTTGGAACCAGTACATAATATTTGTCCTTCCCTCAACAACTTCCCTCAAATATATTCTTTTGTCAGGATAATAAAGGTCTTTTGCAAAATATATTCTAAAGAATGATCACTAAACAAATTGTACAACTGGGTCAACACCCAATGAATGTCATTTAAGTACCAGTCAGAAACGTTCTAAACCACTGTGTTAGCAAGTCATATTTGTTCCACATATGCAAAGTGTATGTTAAATTTAGATGTTTAACTGCTAAACTGTAAGTTGGCAAACCTTGTTATTCATTAAAAAGAGAGTTGTGATATGACAAATTCATAGGTTTTGATCCCGAATCCTTATGAAAGCTACACTCTACAAATGTCTGTGGAATCAGTTGTGGTCCAAAATATTTCATATAACTTTTATAATCTATCACGGGGCTCTTGCAGGTCAGTGACTGGCTAGAACCAAACCCAACCAATCACACTGCAGGGGTGCAGGTGATTTAAACACTTTTATATGGCCTCTCTCTTTCATTAAAATGGTTTCTTCCATTTCAAACCTCCAGAATACAAACATATTATTTTCTATGCAGGCTATTTACTGGGTTTTTGTCATGGTCATAATGTTTTATTTTTGGGGAAAAAAAAATAGGATTCTAGAGTGTAATCCTTGGTCAAGGCATGTATATGAAATAGTTTTAATTTTACAGGGGAGAACTAGACATTCCCTTTTGGGTCAGAGTGTTGGTCAAGCTATATTAGGGTCCCTCCTGTCAAATTCTATTAGTCCATATACAATCCTACCAATGTGGTGGGGAAGGCCACTCATATCCCCTGCTGTAAACCCCTACAAAAACAGTGGATAAAGAAGAAGAGGTGGGTATTTGTCCCTAAAATATTTACATATGGTGTCATGGAGACCCATCTTTTCTCAACCGCCTCCCATCATGTTTTGCTTAACGGTTTAATTTTTACTTTGTTGAACACTCAATGCTGGGGTTTTTTGTGTGGAGGGGGGGGGGCGAGACTGAAAATATTGCTATAAACTAGTGTTCATCTCTTTGAAATGAGACAGAACCAAACAAAAAGTTAACTGGGTGTTGATGGGCAATTATTCCAATCTTTTTGGGGTCTTACCTCTGTCAATACCAGAGCCTGGAACCTCATCTATTCCATGAGTGCATCTATACACAACAGGGTATTCTTACTTAACCTCCATTAAATGAAAGCAGCAGGAGATTGGAGATCAGCAGGATGGGTAGTTGTTATGTACAGAATTCATTTACATTGTGCTGAACATTTTCCTAAATTATGTATTTCTGTGTGTCACAGAAAGGTCTTCAAAATGTTTATGAGAGAGATCCTGCCTTTGAAATTGTTAATGTATCAATGACTAGGAGTTGGAAAACCCAGCCGTACTTGGACCAGGCCATACATAAAAATACACTGCTTTCAAATAAATCAGATGTTTTTACATTTATTGAATTTAGTAGATTAATCCTAGAATAGCAATATAGACCTGGAACATTATCTTTACTCTACACCACTAAATAACAATGATAAAGCTTACCTTGCCCTGGCAGTGAATTGGAATGATGTATGGACTGTAAGAAGAGGCCATATCAGCTGGTAGACTGGTGTTATCAGTAAGCGGCTAAAAAAAATAAAAGTATGTTATTAGTTGTGTGCAAATGAACAACAGGGCCCATATTTCACATATTTTGCAGCACTGAATACAAAATGTCAATGACCACCATTATAGCCGTATCTGAACAGAATTAAGGATGCCATAAGTTCCTGATTATTGGTTTGAGAGGTACTGTGCTTTTTCTTCAAATATCTTGCCTGCCTCACATACAGTATGAAGTAATAATAGTTCAGAATTTGTGTCTGATTTCTTAAACCCAATGTTTTTTTTCAATATATCTATATATCATATATATGTTGTGCAGTGTTTTACCTTTGGTTTAAAGCCCACAATCCTGTTAAGTTTAACAATTACACAGGGATTTCCGTCTTTGAAACCGTAGGTAGGATCAGTCAGGCCAGAGCAATTCCCAAGCCACTCACGGAAGAACGTACAAGATTTTCTCTGTTCATGTGATTTCAGTGTTCCTCTGTCATAATAGTCCGAAGGTTTCGCTAAAATTAGAGGAAGAAAATAGGTTTATAAAACTCTCAATTAGCCACAATTTGCATATTATAGTCATGTGCTTCGTTTTTCACATTTGTCACAAACCCCCTAAGCAGAGCGGTGTGTAAAATTAACTGCCCATACAACCTTGTAAAATTCAAGCACAAAATATGATCGCTCTCTGCCAGCAGTCTAAAATACTCCGAATAAAATAAGAAAGCATCTTAGATAAAAATGGGGAAAAACTCAACACTGTGAAAAAATATATTTAAATCCACTTTTTGTTTGAATTAGATATCCAGAGAATAACAGTGTATAGTTAGGAATTGTGGGTGGTAAGTGGTGAATAATTATTTATATTGTACAATTCAGGCCAAGACCTATTTTAAAGTGCAATTTATTTTGTTTGTTTTTATTTATTTTTATATGTTTGTATTTTGAAATGTGTAGGAAATACGATGGCAATGTCAACCTACACTTCTAAATGAAGTGAATTGTGAATTGAACGAAAAGTTTGGAATAAAATATGGTGTTTTAGTTGTCATCATTTAAAACTTGTAAATGTGTTTAGTTTAAGTACATGAAAGGAAACGCTTGCACTTACTTGAGCAATCTTCAAAATATTCTGCGTTTTTTTGCAGACTTTCATTGTACGCTCCTAGAAATGAGTCGATACTTTTCACGTAATCCTGATAGGTTGTAGCATCTTTCAATGAGTAGGAGATCTCGGTCTTTAATGCCTTTGGTACCTGTGTTAGTCCTTTAAAAAAAAGACAAAACAAATCTCAATATCTGCATTAATAGCTTTCACTATCAAATTTAAAAAAAAATGTCTACCTAAGCCACGAGGCTTTAAACATAAGAGTCAGAAACAATACTATCTGAATAGGCATCTGAAATAGCCTTGCAGCAGAAATGGCAAGGTAAGCAGATAATTAACTTAATATGCATCCGTTATATTTCTTTGGGTCTTCTTAAGATACATGAGCTGTGGTTCCACTCCAAAATCTAGTTAACAGTCTACCAAACCAGGTAATCCTCCCTTTCTCACTCTTTTCAAAAATGCACCAAAACTGACAGCTCTTTTGAGTTGCCAAATTGTTTTGGTCGTTTTTTTGGGGGGGGGAGGGTGACCTTTTCTCCTACCTAATGACCCATGATTACTCAGTGGCTGATTTAGGCAAGCTGCAAACCATAAACACATTGTACCAAAAATGGTTGTCTGCTTTCCATCCTACCTTTTAATTACATCACTATATGAAGATATTAAGCAGCAGGTATAATCGTGACAAGCAATTACTCTGACTCATTGCAGACTGTGGAACTGAATGCTATATATGAAAGTGGCCTCCTCCATCAAACATTAGTTATGCAGAATGCCGCTACATTCCTCTTGAAGAGTATGCAAGTGGGACATACATTTTTTTTATTATTACAATGTGGAATCATAGGGGATATAAAATTCTAAAAGAAGAAAAAGAAGTTGGAGCAAGTGATTTAGATCAGCGCAGTGTGGATGGGGGCAGACTGTGCAATAAGTCCATCTTTGAAATATTGAATGTTTACTGGAAGGAAAGTAAGTTATAAATAAGGTAATCAATATTATTTTACCTACAATAGTCTCTGATTCTAGAAGCATGTCTTACATAATTTTAAAGGAAGATGGCTGTTCACCTTATCCCTTTTGTACCATAAAATGCCCATTTTTGTATTTTGTTACGAAATTCAGATATGTAGACATGCATTTTTTATATTTTATTTCTTAAAATTTACTATGGATATTTACTATAGAAATTCACGAATAACTGCAAATCAGACCCGTAGGAGTAGCTTTTTAACAGAGGATTACATAGTAATTGGTTTACCTTTATTAGATACCGTTAAACCAATTAACAGACATACTAATGCACTGGAGTGATTTTTCACTGAACACACTTTTTATTTTAAGGAACTGCAATAAGACCAAAAAAAAAAAAAAATCCCCTAAGAGTGAATCATTAACCATGTGAGTTATTCAAGGTCATTTGAGTTGTAGGGGGAAGTAGCAGGCCTCAATACTTCGAACATCCGTTGGTATAGTGAACATGCATTGAATGCAAAAAACAACTTCCCTTTCTTTCAGCAAACTGATTTACATTAGTTTGTGGGCCCTCGGTTTAGATAAGGACTAAGTTATTCAGATGCTTTACGGGAAAATATAGAACCTCATAACAATGTATTAACATCAAATAAAAGAGAGCCTTGTGTAATAAATCTAACACAAAAATGTAAAGAAAACTAGTAACTAATTGCAGGAGCATTTGTGATAAATGTTTGTTGGTTTATCACCTGCAAGCTCATGATATCTTTTAAAAGGACACTATAATCACCAGAACCACTGCAACTTAATGGAGTGGTTCTGGTGTCCCTAGTTTGTCCCTGCAAGCTTTTTAATGTAAATGCTGCCTAGTAACATCTCTAGGTGCAGTCACCCAGACAGCCGCTAGAGGCGCTTCCTAGTTCAGTGTTGCTCTGTGTGCAGCAACTACGTTCAGCATCTCTACGCTCTGTATGGAGACGCTAAATGCTTCCCATAGAGATTCATTGATTCAATGCATCTGTATTAGGAGATACTGGTTGACACAGCGCCAATGGAAAAGCATTGGATTGGCCGAGATCATCAAAACTGATTATCTCAGCCGTGTAGGCTGGACCAGCCACTATAAGACCGGAACAGCGAGGTAGAAAAGGTAAGTAAACTCACTTTTAAACTCCACAGAGAGGGGGCCAAACACCAAAACAGGCACTCCAGCACAGTAGGAATACATTGAATTGCTTGAATTCCTAACAATATAGCGCTCATTTAAGCTTGTGTTATATTCACTGTAGAACCTGTTTGTAATGTGCTAATGTAGGAGTTACACAATCATACTAGTGATTATTTTACAAACACACACACACACACACACACTGGGGATTGAGCTAGCATGCACTGCATCATCATTAAAATACACAGTTATTATAAACATCAGGGATGAAAAAACAGAAGTATTAAAGATATATGAATGTCTCCATTCCTTTGCCAGACCATTCCGAAACTCAGCAGTTAATATCCAAGGCTAGTAATGACAAGTGGTAAAGCTTTTAGAGAAAGCAGAGTACACAGATGCCACGTGAATTTACAATTATTTCTCTCCTATTGTTTCTACACTGAACAGATTTTCAAGTATGAATTAGGAACATCGGCACAACAAGTTATGCTCCCCCTGCCTTCTTGTGTTTGTGCCAATAGACTACAACAGAAGACATTGTGGAGTATATTGTTTGTTGAAGCCATAGATGAGTGGTTCTTCCCTGGTTGGTGGGCAAAATTAGGTCTTCATGATATTTCAGTATGTGACATTTGTAACAGGGACATCATATTCATCATGCCCCAGATGATTGCCACAATATTTGTCTTATTGTAGCAACACTGCATTTTTGGGTGTAATCTAGAACCCCTTTTGACACGAGAAAAGTGCAGGTGGTTTACAAGATGAATTCAGTTATATCTTACAACACAGACTAAGAATGGGTCACTGATACTAGATTTAACCATGGTTGATTTTCTGGATCTTTGCCCCAATTAGGAATGATGTTCCTATAGAGACATAGTCCATGGGCATGGTGACCTCAAATATGTTATTTTCAAAAAATATTGCATAATTTACTAAAAATACTATTTTAAGACATAACTGGTTAAATGTTCAAAATGATAAATAGTTCAGTCAGTGGTAACAAAACTAGGACTCGATACCATAATTTCAAGGCATTTTATAGGTATTTGCATACATGGGCATAGCGTTAAGAACCTGTCTACAATTATATTAGGTCAAATCAATAAAATGTAACTGTAAAAATATGATAACATTTGAAAAGTATTATGCACATTGCTGCAAGATACAAAATACACTGTAAAACAACAGCTATCCTATCTCTGCACTAAAGTCACCAAAACACCACATAAAGGAATACTTCAAGCACCATAACCACTACAGTCCCCTGGCACCCTCCCACAGTAAAATGTAAAAACATTTAAGCACGGTTTAACAACTTGCTTGAGTTCCACTGACACTGCATCTGGTACTCTAAAGCTGGATGGCTCTGCAGAACAGGACCGTGCCCATTGGATAAAAGCATCAGCAGACACTCTCAGCCATTGAGCACAGATCCAGTAATTTGCTCTACAGAGACATCTATATTCTCCTGCATATGTGGTGGGGCTGCTCGATAGGAGGAAAGTGTAATTTATTAATTTCTGGTAAAACTGTTTGACATCTTAGAGTGAGATAGTGCCAGGGCACATTGAGAAACCACTACATACAAAGAGTTGTGTTCCTCAGTACTCAGTAAATTGGCTCTATTTTAATTAAAATAAAGAGAGGCTAGGGTATTTGTATGACCCTGTGGCTTCCTGAAGACTTTTCCTACATTATGATTTAGTCTCTAGTCAGTTACATACTAACAAAGCTGTATAGAACCTCTGCATTATGTGTTATCAGTGTGTTTCCCACCGACTCTGTGCATTTGTGGATGGTTTTGTGTTTTTTTTTAAAGAGTAAACCAGTTGCAATGTCTTTTAGTATTATGGCGGATGGGGGAATAACTAATATGACCTTTTTCTGCATGTGGGAAAATTTCTGTCAAAGCTTGCTACTTTTATCTCTTAGTCATTTGTCTGTTTTGTACAGTTGTTTTTTTTTTTTTTTTGCACATAACAGAACTGGGATAAAGTCTAATTCTTCGTAACGACTTTTTCTATACGTTTGCGACCTCAGCACTTGACATGCAAATTATGAAATTGATTCCCAAGTATAAAATGTCAGTTGACAGCAAAAATTGTGTTACCGCTAGTTTTTTAACAGCACACACTTAATCTGGCCCTAGGTCTTTTGAATATGTTGGGAATAATGTAGGCATGTTAAAACAACTTAATAAAATGAATCGTTCAATATTCTGAAACAGAGTCAACACAAGATTTTGATTTGTCAACGCTCATTACTGCTGTGGGGGAGTGGGTAGTGGTAGGTGTCAGGTCAGTTTTAGAAATTTTATGATGCCCAATGAAGAGCTGGTATAATAATTTAAGTTTATTACTTTTCCCCATAGAAGGCTCATATCACAGAATTCCAAGTTGCCACCCGCTAGAGTATTAGAGGAGAGGAATTTCACAGAAGTTAAATTTGATCAAGGGGGTTTAGTTTCGGGCGTTATTAAAGTGTCAGTCAAGTCCATTTTTTATCCTAGGATCAATTAAACAAATCAGAATTTTCTCCACCACCGGTGTGTGCTGCAGTCTGAGCCATGCTTGTCACAAACACTGGCAGAACAATTGGTGTCCTTCAGGAAGTGGCAATGACTAATCTCATTTCGCAACACAGACGAAAGGGTAAGGTAACCATGGACAGGAGGCAGACTTAAGTACTATAGTGTGCTTCTTTCAGAAACATACCCTGAACATAATGGACATAAATCAATAGTCAATTTACATTTCATTAAATCGAGGTTTTAGTTTTGATGTTTTGTTTCCTTTAGGAGAGGATTTATGAATGGCATAATTACATTAATAATACTATGAGGACATTTCTTACAGCTAAACATACAAATAACTCACGCAGGGCTTGATAAGGTTCTGTAGCATTCAGAATTAAGGTGTGTATACACAGATTACATACACACACACACACACACACAAAAATAACAAATAAAAGGATCTTCAACAAATATCTATTCTATATGTAATTTAGATGTTAATTCTTTATACCTGGTGGTGCTACACGGTCTTGATACGTTGGTTCATAGTCACTGATGGTTAAAAGTAGTACTTGAATGGTCCCAATAAATATACCAGCAAGGCAGCCATAGAAGACCAGATAGAATAAAAGGATTTTGACTGCAAAAAGATAAATATTACAGAAAATGTGTTACAAACAACGTCTAAAATTTTAACACTTTGAATCACCATAGAGTATTCTTTAAACAAATTTACTAATAAACGCCCCGTGATCTCATATACCCTATACAGAAAACTACTGCATAACAAACTGTTACTGGTGAGAGGGTCACAGTCTCGTGATAACAAGGACAATTTTTACATTAGTCAGCCCATCTCATACGTATTAAGTGGAAAAACAGTGCGTTCCAATTACAGTTTGAGTTTGGATGCTGAACACTGCTAATAGCTTGTTAATTAAAAGATCAGAGAGCAATGTAAAGCTAACACAAACTACGGCCTACTAACACTGCATTCATAACTGCAGGAAAGAGGCATGTTTACAGTTAAAGTTGGTATCTAGGCAGCAATGAGCAAGTGTCAGGTGACGTCAAGAGAGATTTGGAAATTTTTTCCACAGCCGACCATAGGAGAGAAAAAAAAAAATCAGCACTGGTGTTAAGCAAACGTGTCGCCTCTAACTTGTGCCAGACATTAAGAACTTACTATACAATCAACCAACAAACATTGCATTATGGGCGAGTCCTGCACTTTATATAGAATGCATACTGTGTTATGTATTTATTAACAAGCCTTCTTATTCAATATCGAACGTACACATTTACCCAAACATGCAAGTCGATACAGAGTAACATTTGTTAATTGTTAGATTATCTTCCTTTTGACAACAAGGCAGTATTCACAGGTAATCCTGGCACAATGTGCCCATTTGTATTCTTTGTCAGTTACAATACCTGCAATTGTAGCTTTTGCTGGTATAGCGCCCCTCCAGTTTAAACAGAAGGACAGTATTATAATTATATTTGCATTAAAGCCACCCATACGCATTAAATGCTGAACACCACTCTAACACTTACAAGGTTAACCTTTTGAAAGAGTTTAAACAGAACTGAAAGGTTAATCATGGTAAAAATGCGATCTAGCCAGTTTATTGACTATGCAAATTTAACTTGGGTACAAAAATAATACTATGCAAATTACACAGTGACCAGTATTTTAGTAAACATATTATTATTAAAAGGGACATCATGTCTACACACAGAATGAAAAAAGTGAGATGTGTAGAGCAAAACCTGGTTTCAAATGTAATTAAGAGAGTTCTAGAGTGGAAGAAGTCTTAATATGTTGTTTGTCAAACCAAAAATCTAAATGTCTCATTCAATGTCAATCAGGAGATACATAAAATTCTAAATATGTACATAATCTGTAAAAGTGCTGCAGACAAATTATATTTTATGATGACCAAAGTATGCCCAAATAAACACTTATACATTTTGCAGAAATGAACAAAACCACATAGCTAAGCAGACAAGTGCCATTTGAAAAGTAAAACATATCCCATGAAGAAAAAACAATGTATATTAATATTGCAAATATATGTTTATTTATAATCACAAATAACTTGGAATGTGATTGTTCAATTCTAAAAAAAATTTTATTTTTTTTAAAAAGACCAAATACGTAATTTGAATAATGTTCCTATAACATCCATAATTGTATTCTAAAAAGCAAATGGGATTGAGTTTTCTCTTGCACTTTGATGAAATGGCTGATCTACCGTGCACCTTTGAGGCCTACTCAAATTACAAACCGTTGCTAGGATACGACCTTTACAAGGACCTGCTCATTCCTGACTATTCTTTCCCCCTCCAGCCACATTAAACTGTAAAACAGCATCGAATTCTACCAGAACGCATGTTTCCTGTTAATGTGGGTGTACAGTGTAACATACAAGTACCCAAGTCATAGAGGCAGCCATGGCCATAACCTGTCACCTTGACTAACCTTGAGAAGTGATGCATTATTAACTCTATAGCCACTTGCTCTGCCAACCCTAGCCACACAAAGCCTGCCAGCCTTGCCAGGCATTACACCCAGTTACCCAGACAGATATTTTAAAGCCTGTAATAAATGATCCCTGTTCACCCACCCCCTGTATCCCCTCACACTGTAAAACACTAGCCTGCTTCTGCGTATTTTACATTGCAAGGCAACAACTGCAATGAGCCGCCCCCTCTTGTTACATGTGTAGTGGGTGATGATGACAGAGACAGGGTTTTTCCCTCCCTCTAGTCTCAGCTCATATAGATTGGCTACATGGCGTCCTTCAAAATGACCTTTTCCAAAAAAGAGCCCCCAAAAAAGGCACAAGTGAAAGAGGATGATGTGACACACACAGACACACACACACACACACACACACACACACACACACAATTATGCAAAAAGGGAAAGAAGGGGGGTGATGGGGGAAGGTTAGAAAAAAAATTGCAGTGACAATGAGTGCCTGTAACCCAATACCCATCAAATCATAATTTACTTAAACAGGCTGCAGCGTATTAACCATTTCAGCAATACAACCATGAGATAGAACATTCAGCTTGCTCTCAAACAGTTAAAAACATGAGATCCCCCCCGCCCCCCCAAATTGAAAAAAACAAATGGATGTTTGTAACAGCCCACATGTAACATTAGCAAGTAGAAAGTATCAGGCATTAAAATAAGACATTGTAATAAGATCTGAATCAGCAACTACAGGTCAACACGTATTACCCCTTCTATGTGTCACTGCTGCCTTGGGGGTTCATGTTTTAACTAACCAGACTTAGACAGAAACATGTCAGATACTTACACCAGCTGCCACCTGTTCTTCCTAAAAACTCCTTCTTCTCGGAATTCCACACGAATTTCTTCCAGCCTCCATCAGTTTCTTTTGTTTTCTCTCTTGCCATTGTTTTTCTTCTTTAAAAAAAAAATATCTGATTGGGGTTTTTAAGTCTTCGTTGTGTGTTGTTTTCTATATATATTATAGCTGGCTTTCAGGAAGCAATGTTTCTAGCTGTAGATCACCGTTTCTCTTACTGTTTGGCTGCACTGGGTTTTCTAAAAATGTATCTTTTGTACAAAAAAAGGGAATCGATCAGTAGAATACTGTGGGTGAGTAGAAGAAAAAAAAATGTGTAAAAATTCTGCTTCCTCCCTTTGTTCTAAGCGTAGTTTGTGCTGTTTCAAGGCTTGGAGTGGGTTGATCTGCCTTTTTTTGTAGTAGAGGAGGAGGAGGGTCCCAGGAAAAGACAGTACAGTAATGGAATTGATCAAATAAAAAAACAGAAGAGCAGCGGTGTATGTGGGGAGAATTCAATGCCAATCGCTGCCGGTGAGATCACGGGAGAAATTTGGACCCGGCGAGGACCAACTACTCGCCCAAGCTGTGAATTTATACACCTTCCTACCAGACTGGGCCTCTCCCCTTCCAAGATCAGCACCAATGGCTGAGGACGCATGGGGTGGGAGGCAAGGCGGAGCAAGGACTGAGAGCCCCAAGGACGAGGTGGCTTGCTGCTGTGATCAGAAGGTTGCTGGGGGCTTAGTAACTACCTCCGCTGGGATGATACCTCCTCTAAAGCATAAGGGTGGTGCAAAGTACAGATGGGGGAGGTAGAGGAGGGGGGGAGGTATTCCAGTGTACATTGTGTAATAAAAGCACTGGTGCAGAACAGCTCATTTTAAGGGACACCTTGGCCTTCTCTCAGTTCCAAGGTACACTCTACTATTCCTGATCACTTGTTACAAGTGTATCCGCTGACAAAGACAAAATGTCACTGATTATCTGGGGCCCAGCCTTCAACCTCAGGCAACATCTATTTTGTTTTCGGAAGGCGTCTGTTTTCAAGTCTCCCTCATCTCCCTCCCCCCATATATTTCACATGGCAGACATTGCAATCCACACGCTGCAGTACCGAATGCATTGTAGAATAATAAAGATGGGTTAATTTCAGAGTTATAGGTGGGCTGCAAGACCGCAGACCTTTGTGTCTGGAAACGAAATTGTCCTGTGTCTAGTGTAAGTCCTTATGTGCCTTGGGGGATTTGTTTTTTTTTTCACACAAGCATCTCATCTTCCTATTCCCTGTGGCAATTAATGTAGGAGTTTACATCATGCTCCCAGCAATCTGTGTCTTCCTGCTTGTTAGGATATTGATTCCTAGCTAAGGGTGGCTCCATGTGTACCCAGAGGATGACCTGATGCACTCCTCTCTGTGTGTCCTGTAAAGACAAATACCAGTATCCATTCAGTGTGTCTCTCCCCTTGCAAACTGCTTGTACATACTGATCACCTACTCACTGTACAAATACAGGCAGCAGAGTACAGACAGGTACATTTCCATGAGACAACACCCATAATAACCACTATAGCAAGGAGTTTGCCTGAGGCAAACAATGTGCAAGCTGCATATTTCATCACACTAAACATAATCCCTTGCAGGTGTACGGTTTGGAAAGGGTAAAAGAAAAGGGCAAGGTGCTTAATTACCAAAAAGAAAAAAAAAATTATAATAATTTCAGATTACTGGGTCACATTTCACTACCCAAACCGCTGTGCATCCATTGCAAGCTGGGACTGGTACCGGGTTGGTTTCTTCACCTTTTTGTCCTTCAAGAAGTTTTTTCCAAGCATTTCTCCTCCCTCTCATGGATTAGGTGACCCTAGGAGAATGAACTGAATTTTAACTTTAATACAGAGAACCGCCCCTACCTGCATATTGCTTTTCCTTTGATTTAAATAGTGTCAGAGAGTGACAGTGCTTACTCAGACAATGGCCTGGGATCTTTAATACAGTGCTCATTGTGGACTCTGCAGAAGGGTTAATCTACAGAAACTGGCTGCTCTGGTCAATGACTGACCGCTTTTTCACATGGGAGAGGACTGGGAAGGTGTTTATAAAATACCCAGCCCGGTCAATCTTTAGCATCGTTTATGCACAGATAATAATTTTTTTATTAACTCCTAAACTGCTGTAGAACCTGCTTCATGAACTAGACTCATTCGATATGTTGCAATAAAACCAAGTAAAAAAGGACTCCCATTTGAGGACTGATTTGAGGCAGGGAAGAGCCAAAAGAACACAGGTTTATCACATTCTTATAGCACTACTTACTATAATGTAATTTTAAAACAATTATATTAATACTACATTTATTTGAAGTACATACAAGGGAAAATCAGCTCTTCCCCAAATTATTTTGCCTTGCACCTCTAAAAATGCTAAAACTGCCCCTTGGTAGGATTATCGAGTAGACATGTACGTTTAAATAACCTCTTATCTCAGTAACTTCCATGAAACTTGGCCGGGAAAAAATAGACTGGCACTGATTAATTGGATCTATGCTTTTCTGACAGCTCTGGAGTTGGTGATTGAATGAATCCTGCCAAAGGTTATACAAGGATAATAGGCCTCAGAGTCAAAGCTAATATAAGAAGATCACATTAGACTTATAACAAAACCAGCATTCAAGTAAGTGTATGGTCTAGGCTAGGGCATATTACCAAGACCCTTAGAATGTATGATGGCTGTGAGCATTATAAAACATGCTGTATCTGAGATTCCGGTATAATTGTATCCCTCATCCGAACAGGTTTACCCTTCAACATTCTCTACGCTTCCTTTCACAGGACCCTTAGCAATGGTCCCTACCCTACAGCAGTTGGAGGAGAGAGGGGAGGAGTAAAAGATTTATCATTAACCACTTGTACAAGGTCAAAACACATTCAGCGTGGTTCAAAGGCATCTATTCCAGTGCCCTAGGTGGTTCATTTATCCAGTTTATTGCTAGGCAAGGGGTTTGCTTCCTTGCAGCTGTGATAAAAATACAGATTGTTCTGGTTAGTTGCATAAAAGGACAGTAAATGAGTACATCTGATACGACAGTGAAAAACGAGACTTGTGTGTGTGTGCACAGCTCCTACAGGGATGCTTTAATCGTTACACTGAACCTACCACCAAGTGTTATTTTTGTACATAACCGTCATCTGAGTGAATTCCCATAGTGTGGAAAACATATATGCCTACTGTATCAGATTTCTCATAGAAATCCATAGATTGCATCTTTTCCACAGTATATTCATGTGTAAACATTTTAACTCCTTCAGTGATGGAACAGACTGGTGTTTGATCATCAAACCATGTACTGCTTGAATTAATGAAGGAGTAGCACATTTGAGGCCAAATTCACCGGGTAGGAAAAAAGAGAAAAGTTTTTTTTTAAATGTCCAATTCATCTATTTTTGGGTAAAATAGCAGATCCCTGTCAATTCTCTACAGTCCTTGGTGAAGTGAATAAAACCCTCTGTACGTCTTGTCTGCAGTGGGAGCAGGGAGGGAGGGATAGGGGCTGTAGTGGGTGCAGGGGAGGGATGGGTGCTGGAGTGGTTCAGGGTGGGGCATTGAGTCTGGCGGATCATGGGGAGCATAGGTCGGGGTGGAAGCAGGAGAGGCTGGGGTGGGAGCATGGTGCATTTGAGCTGTAGTGGGTGCAGGCGGCATATGGGCTGTAATGGGTGCAGGGGAGGGTTGGGTGCTGTTTTGGTGCACAGAGTGATAGGGTGCTGTAGTGGGGACGGGAGATAGGGGTGCATAAATTCTATAGTTGATGCAGTGGGGCATTATTGCTGTAATAGGTGCAAATTGGATATAGGGCCTGTGGTGGGTGCACGGAGTCCATAGGGGCTACAGTGGGTCAAGGAGGCATAGGAGTTGTAGCGGGTGCTGGGGAGCGACTGGGTGCTGTAGCTGGTGCAGGAAGACCAGAGGGGCTGTAGGCGCAGAGGGGTTATAGGGTGGAACTGGGGGTATAGTGTGTGGGTTGGGAGTACTGGGGGTATATGGGTCAAGGTGGGTGCAGAGAGGATAGGAGTCCCAACTAACCCCTCTCCCCCTTACTCCCTGCCTCTACAGCAGCACTCTTTTCCCTTTCTAAAAAGGAGCATACCTGGTATGTGCTGTCTCTGATAGCAGGCTGATCCTTATCTTGAGCACTCTGCAGGAGAGGAGAGCACAGGATGTGATGTCACTTCCCATCCCACACCCCATCTCTTCTCACCCAGAGCACCACAGAGGAGATCATGGAGGAGACCTGGTATTGAGAGCGCAGGATCGCGGCCGGATCTCACTCAGAACGTGTGTGGGGAGGTGTGTGTCACTTACAGTGCGACAGGTTGCAGGGCCCTGAAACCTATCGCTGGAATGTTGCCTCTCAAGCACGTTTGTTCAGCCGGGCCCATGACTGCCTTGGGTCCTTGGTCCATGACCGATGTGGCCGAGTGGTCAGTCTGCCCTTTCCCTCCTGCAGTCACTGGTGATGGCTGGGGGGATTGGTACTTAATGACGGCAGCAGCTCCGCCCAGTGTCACGAAGTATCAGACGTAGGATAAATACTGAGGCAAAGAAATCCCTACTGTGTCTCAGTACATCACTTAATTGGGTTAGAATTCCAGTGAAATTCCAACACATTTTAGAAAGATTTTATCTTTATGAAATTCTTTAAGCAAGCACTGCAGGGCTTAAATTGCACATGGAGGAGATGATTCAAAGATTTCAAAGCCCTGTGCACAAAGCTTCCATTCTGGTTTATAGGACGTATAATTTTGCTTTCCTATGAAAGCTGTTAGCTGGAATATTACTTTCACAAAAAAATCTGGTTTACTTCCAGGTGATGCTTAAGAGAGAGGAACAGAGAAAGCGCTGAATCCAGGTATAGCAAATAGTAGTCTAAAACAGAGGATGCAGAATGTTCAAATCTCCCCCACCCCCAAACAAAAAGTTTACTTTACTTTAAAGTAAGTCAGTTGTAGCACTGTATTTTCAAAGGGACACTGTAGGCACTCAGACCACATCAACTCATTGAGTTGGTCTGGGTGCAGTGTCTCTATTGCCCTTAGTCCAGAGAAACTGCAATGTTTACTTTGCAGCATTAAGAGAACCTCTAGGGGCTGTCTACCAGACAGCCACTAGAGGGCTTCCTGAATCGAAATAGATCTTTGGTCCGGTATCTGACGCTGGACATCCTCACGCTCTGCATGAAGACCTCCAGGGTCAGATTTTTCCCCATAGGATGCCTTCCTATGGGGAGGTGCAATGCGTGTGGCGTTAGAGCCCGCTTGTTGCGGGTTGGAGAAGGAGCTTTGACCCACCACCAAGGGACATCTGTACTGGGATCAGATAAGTAAATAAAGGGGTTTTAACCCTTTATTTACTGGGCAGAGATGATGTAGTACAGAGATGAGAGATGTAGTACACAACATCTGGAGTGCTGAAGGTTGCCTACCCCTGCCGTAGCACATGGCGTGCCTGTTTGTACACAATGTTTAAAAAGCAAACCCCTTTAGAATCACCATTATTCATGGGCAAGTGGGAGACTTTGACCGGAGAGAAATTTATCGATAAGGAATGAGACAAGATATGCTATCTGACACATCAATGCTCAGTATCAAACAGGGCACAGGAGACAGCATACAAACTGTTAACATACTGGTACCATGTGCCTCGACACATGCTGATTATTGACCCTACTCACACAGGCCGGAGATGAAGGAATAAGGTTAAGGACACCAATCTATTTATGGTGGGAATGCCCGATGATTCTGACATAGTGGACAAGGATACATAACATGTTAGGGATATTCTCAGATGCACCATCTCCCTTTAGAACAGCTTTAAACATGTTACCTTACCATTCTACAACTCCATGAGCATGATACAATAAATCAATAACGATTTGCATCTTAAACATGGCCAAGCAAGTCATTCCTCAGTTTTGGAGGCAATTTGTTAGCCCTCTGCTGACAGTGTGGTTCACGCAGATGGAGGATCTCCGCATGACGAAAAAGCTTCACTTTAAAGGACCACTATAGTGCCAGGAAAACAAACTTGTTTTCCTGGCACTATAGGGTCTTTAAGTCCCACCCCCCTACCTTCAGGGTCCCACTCCTGCTGGGCTGAAGGGGGAGGAAGGGTTTAATCACTGGGGAAATCTCCCTCTTCCGATATCAGCGCTGAATGCTTTTCTCAATGCTTTCCTATGGACGTCAGCGTCTTCTCACTGTGGTTTTCACAGTGAGAAGCGCGGAAGCGCCTCTAGCGACTGTCAATGAGACAGCAACTAGAGGCTGGATTAACCCTACTGTAAACATAGCAGTTTCTTTGAAACTGCTATGTTTACAGCTGCAGGGTTAACCCTAGATTATTAGGGTTAACCCTAGATTCATTGAGATGAAGTGGTCTGGTTGCCTATAGTGGTCCTTTAAGGGCAAGTATTGCAATGACCGTGCATTCAGAAATCTGGTTACACTGGATGCTGACCACCTCCAAGGAGGACTTCCAGGCTCAGCTAAAGGGTGACGGAGACGCTTAGATGCAACAAAGTATGTTTGTATCTTATTATTTTTTTATTTGCCTATCTTTAAAGTTTGCTTTTCATAAGTCACATGCTTATTATGGTGAGACCTGTGTGTCTGTATTTTTACGTGTCACCTGTCCAGATATAATATCTTGTGCACCTGCCAGAACCATGATCATGTTGCTATGAGACCTGCATGCCTGCTTTTCATATTTCAGTTATGTAACGTTGGGGCCTGCGAATTCCTTGTTGTATCATTTTTTTTATACTCAAAAATGTCAAATAAAAAGGTATCTACAAAAAAAAAAGCATAATGCGCCAGCCACCTACTCTTTATTAACCCTCACACTGCTGCCTGTGGCATGCGGGATTAAAGAAGACTGGATCTATGGTTCCCTCCTGTGTCCTGTTTAATAGGGTTATTCAAGGACCCCGATTTGTATCAATTTATTTATTAACTATTTGGCTACTAAATGCTTGTGATGCCGGTGGGTGTATATTGAGGATTTCTGTACCTTCAGCTGCAAAAAGCAGGAAAATGCTTTTGTGAATGTGCAAAATACATTTGACCTACTAGAGCAGATCACAGAGAATCCAATACATGTTTAGAATTGATAAACATGTGATTCACTCCTATGAAGGCAACACATTATTATGAATCCGATGTGTTCATTTGATGAAAACCACCAGAGACACCTCTGACTTGCCTTTAATATATATCTGAATTACAAATTGGGGAAAACTGTTGTAATTTTCAAAGAAATTTGCTAATCAGGGACTTTAGTAATTAACCCCATAAAAAAATATTTATCTATCACAACTATGTGGGTTGAATATCAGATTAAAATTTTAAGCATCAACTCTGCCTTCACAAAAAATCTCTAATTCATCTGTAATAAGAGCTGTTATATTTGAAACTGAATTGTATCATTTGGATTTCATGTTTACTACAATTCGGAATTTTGGGCGATTGTTCATTCGCCCGTCATCGTGAAATACGAATGACCGTATGGACGTATGACAAAGCAAACTAAAAGTCC